TTCCCTGTCATTTAACAAGGTTTCACTCTATTGGATTAAAATTCTCAGAAGTTACACATGTCATTCGATTTAAGTCTAATAAATATCTTATTATTTCCTACTTGTTGTATTAAATAGTACTTTAATTGTAAGTCACAATTATGAATCCATTAATTCAGAATTTTATGAAACACATACCAAAGTCTGTTTAATCTTATTGTCATTTATTGGCAGACACACAGTAATATATTTGTACAATTTGGTAAACAGGGCACAGGTCTTCCTCCGGAGTGGAAAGTGATGCGGACAGTGAGAACTTGCCACCGATTCCGGTTCAGGGGAACGATTCATTGGGCAGTCCTTACGAGAACGTTCGGCCGGGAGATGATCTCTCTCCGGCGGAAGGGACGTCGCCCACCCAATGGCAGTTCTATCACAAGCCTCGAGACGACGATCGCCGCGTTTCCGGTACTTCCGTTATGTCACTGTGAGTACCAACTTCTCTCTCTTTCCCCTCATCGCGCCTGTCATCGCTTTCGGTGCTGTTCCGGCTCTCTTTCAGCGCCGTGAAACTTTTTCGCAATTGATTCTGAGCTTCTACAACCGCAACAAGCCATTCACTTATTTATTTCTTTCAATTATGGAACGAAGAATATTAACATTTATATTAATTAAATGTACATATTTACTTTTTTGTGTTATGTGACGCAAAGTGTGAAAACATTTTTTATTTCAATGCGTGATACATGTACTAACGTGTAGCTAAGTTATGATTCGTCTATGGAACACTAAACATACCCTACGACACATTTTACTAAAACAATAAATAATCACGCGAAACAATAAACGTGTCCGACTTAGCTCGAATATCCACACCGATAAACAGCAAAGACTAACAATAGCCCAGGCGTATCCTAATGATGCAAAATAGCGAGCGACCCCTCGAGAACGCATCGATACACGCTACATTCACGTGCAACAATCGCGCATACTTTTCTATCTGGAGAAAAAACTGAAAAGGAAAAAAAAAATCGCGACAAGAAAGAAATCAGAGGAAAGAACAATTCCACTCATCCAAGCTTCGGCTGGCTCCTCCGGTATTTGTGTTCATTCGTACGGGGCGGCGTTATCTTGCACGGGGAGAAAAGAATATCGCGTCGGTGCATCGGATAAGAGGCGGAGGCCGCGGTAATATTTTCTAGAAAGAGATACGTATCCAGTATAGGTGGGTGCATAACCGTGCCCGGTTTAATATAGAGATGTCGAGTAAACAAAAGCACGGCGTGGACCGGGCACGAACTCGGAGTGAATGAGCGAGTGGCGAGTGCTCTGATGGTTAGCGGGCGTCGCTGGGTACCATTTTAGTACCGATGCACTGCACACCACTTGGGGGGTGGTTGCGACCGAAGGAGGGGTAGAGCAGGGTAGAGGAAAGGAAAGGTTCCTCGGACCGAAAAGGGAAGCAGAAATAGCGGTGGAGAAGAGGTCGGACGAAGTGGCGCGGCCGCGTGTAGCCCCAGCGCGTTAAGCACCGCTTGGCTTGGTTTAATTTTCTTGATGTAGGCAGGCGATGGTGGGTCCGACCGCCTCGTTCACCCCTGGGTTACCCCTATTGGTACTCTCTCTTTCCGCGAGTGCTAAACGCGGCTGGTTGGCCAGACCAGACGGAGAAAGATGACCGAGACGGAGGAATAAAGAGGAACGGCGAATGAATGAGAAAAGGAAGAGAAAAGAGGAGAGAGAGAGAAAGAGGGAAAGAGGGAGAGGATGGGATAGAGGAAAAAGGGAACCTGGTACCAGAGCTCTCCTCACCTCTACCGTCAATGTTTGACGTCGGTGGCTACGGCTCGGCCGCCTCGAGTTGAATCCATCACGTTAAACAATGTAAATGTTAGCCCTCAGCATAAAACTAATAACCATTGCTCTCTCTCTCGTCCTACGTACGGAGAAAAATTTTCGTTAAAAATTACTCACTGTAATCTTGTAGTATTGCGAAAAAGGAAAGAATTAATGCGACGTGTTCACACAATTCATAATGTAATGGAGAATTTTTATTTATCTAATTTATACTGACATCATGATCATTTTTACTACACTATATTGTTTTCTAATTTATGATTTATTACAACGTATAGAAATTCATTGCCATTTGTACATAATTTTCACATTAATGTCTATTGGAAATTTTTCTCCGTGCGAGTATATCGCGGTTCGCCAGTTCCTCATTCATCTCTGCCTTGTTTCCATCTGCTCCTACCATGCGCTTTTCATTCTCTTTCTCCCTTTTTTCTTTGCCCCCGACCTCGTCTACGTGGCCTCATTAAAAAGTCGCCACTCGCCCGCGGTCGTCTCCGCTCGAACTTACGCATTGTTGAGGATGATACTCCGAGATCTGTGTACCATTCTTTGGCTTGACCGATGAACAACTTCTGGCCATTCTGTCCAAGTCTTTTCGCGTCTGGTACGCTTAATTGTTAGAGATCGTTGCGAAGGGGACGCCTCTTTATGGTTTGTTTCTTTAAGGATAGTGGATGAAAGACTCGTTATCGTAAGATTCAAGACGTACATTCAATAATTTACGCGAGTTCGATTAATTAAAAGCATTCGATGATAAATGAAATGAAATTGCAATTGACGATGTGGCACGATCTCTTTTTGCGTTATCGCACTATTCAGGTACATTTTCACATGGCAGTAAATCGTAACTTTTAAATTATGACAATGCTTGATTTTACGTGATCTGATTATTTAAGTTCAAGTTTTAGTGTCCTGTGAAAATGTAACCTTGCGCTTAGGCAATGAACGGAAAAGCTGCTTCGCTTCTCGATGTGCGACGATAGATTCGCGACAAATCTGACGATAGAACACAATGGATTGGGAATTTCAGTGAAGACGAGCAGAATGGGGGACCAGTGAACGGAGTACGGAGGACCCTCCAGCTGACAGAGGACTCCGACCCCAGTTCCGTCTACGACAGCGTCTTTATGTCCATGTCCGACACCCTCAACTCGATAAACACTTACCACCAACAACAATATACTGTTAGTACAGCGCGACACTACACGGTAATCATATAAACGCTTTGCACCGTGGTAGCGCTTTCGATTTATCATCCAACTAAAACATGCTTACCTTCGAAAATAATGATTTCCATGTTTCTTGAAATTACGCATGAAAATGAGGATTTCTCTATTACTATAATCGATACCATACATTAATTTAAAACAAGCAGACAATTTTAAAGTATCATAATTATAAACAGAATTTCACAATTATATGACTGCTAACTTAATGTTAAAGGAATTAATCTGAGTTGTTATATTTTCCAAAGCGCTACTACACGATGTCTTGGATTAACATGCCCATTACACGCCACACAAAAGAAACAAAAATAAGAATCTAGTAAAGCATCCGGTGTTTGAAGATAATCGTGATCAGGTTGGTCCCGTTGAGACGTTGAGTTTGGTTGCGCAGGGGCTCCGACAACGGACTGTACCAAACGCCACCGGTACCTCGGGGAACAATGGAGGGTAGCTTCGTGTCGGAGGATCTGTCCTTGACATTACCCACGGGATACGGGGGTGGCAGGGAGTCGGACCAATTGAGCGTTTCCTCGTCCTCCAGCGTCGGTGGACCGAGCCCACGGGATCGGCGTTGTTTGCCCAACGATTCCAACGCCGCCGGGATTTACTTGCCAATGGCACCCTTGTCCAGTTCTCTTCACAGCCCCGCCTCCAACAGTAAAGTCTCGGTAAGAATACTCCCCCCTTCCCGCCGCGGTCAGGTCACCCCATCCCGCTTTTCGCGAGTATCTCGAGATTCTCTACCCTTCATGAAGGGTTGTACGAAGGTCGCGAGAGCTAAGTGTTCGTTCAAAGCGAAATTTTTCGTTCTCCTAATTGATTTTCACGTGTACAATTATTACGTACTTACTGATAGAAAATTTTTGTGAAAAATTGTTATGCATTTTCAGTTGAATTTGTTCCTCGTGTGTTAAATTGGTGGAAATATGTGAACAAAAGTGGAAGTTGATAGTTTATTAAGGAAACCTAATTCTTAATTTTTGCGGAGAAGTGTTTGTCAAATCTTCTAGTAAAGAAAAAGAAATAAGTCTCTTTGTAATAAACATGATCAAAGAGTGGATCAAGATTCAAGATCAAGATTCATGTTTTATCAATCTCTTATTCTTTCTTAAATTCATACGCCAATTATTGTTTCTTCTTTCTTGTTAAATTCAAAAGATTAATTAATTGCTACATTGTTACCGGCATCTCGATTTGAACAGGGAATTGTTACTTCTTAAGCGTCCAACTTTCTCCCGTTCGTCCCCTCATTGGGGGTTGACTATCTTTTTCCAGCGCGAAAAATCGTACCGTGCAACGCGGCAATGAATCATCTCTACGCCTCACAGTTCGTTAGCGTGGACAAATTGATCGCGGGTTAATTGGCCCGACAGCTTGACGCTACAATTTTTACTTCGATCGAGACATCCAGCTTCGCAGTTCGCGACCGCTCGAATATTACATTCGAAAGACGTCTAATAATTGGAACGGGAAAGTCATTAGTCGGACTTCTTCACGTCCAGCTGTTTCCTTTTTATCGACGTTTCATTTTATTCGTTGTTAATCTCGATTTTTAATTGGTATCGTGTTCGTCATATTTATTATCAGCGATGCGCGTTCTATTATCGTCTAAATAATGCTCTCTCGCATTGGATCAGTTCTCTTGGAGTCTTATCGAATGAAAAAACACGATTATTCGACACCCGCTTCTCTAGAGTAATGCGACGCTTGAACGAGCATTGATTTGGTGCTTACAGCCAACGCCGCCGAAGAAGCCACCCAGGCGCAACTTGTCTGTTTCGCCGACCCATCTGCAGACCCAGATGTCCTTGTCGGCGGACTGCACCATGGGCCCGAACAATTACGAGTACCTATACATGGCCCGGAGCGGTGCTCGCAGCCACATCGACTTGGACCAACTGCAGAAGCGCCGGGAACAGTTGCGTCACGTGACGAGAAGCGTCGATCAGTACGTCGAGATGAAATCCCCTCGCGCGGAGGAAGAGAGACGCGACATGAACGCCGAGCCGGTCGCCATCACTTCGATCTACGAGAATAGACCGATTAAAACGTTGAATCCTCGACGAAAGTTGCGTAGACACGCTTTCGAGGACTATGAGCCAGTGGGCAGCCCGTGCGCGGATAAGTCGCCCTGCAGCGAGACGGACACATTCGCCCAGGAGCAGCAAACGTTCGTCTCGAGGGCGTTCATCATGCTCAAGTCTTCCCAGGAGAGTCTCCTCAACGAGAAACGCGACGCGAACGACGAACACTCCGCGCCAGAAGGCCGTGAGGCGACCGATAAACGCCTGAAACGAGTACAAATGATGCTGCCCACCAGTCCTACGCATTACGCTCAACCACCGACGCCCGATCATCCGCCGCCTTCCGCCATGCAGGCTGAGAAGTCCATTCACGAGAGGATTCGTCCATTGAGTCAGGTAAGAGTGTTCTATTATTTATCGTCTTCGAGTAAAGCTGATAAAATCTGCTTCACACTAGCCAATAAAAACGTTCAGATCTCAATTATTCAATTATTCAGATCACAACCTAAGATTAATTCAAGACCAAACATAACGAAACGTGACTACTAGTGTGAATCAGTCTTAATAGATGCAATCATGTCGTTTCCAAAGGCATCGATACGATGCGTTGAAAAAAGATCGAACTCTCTCGTGTTCCGCGCAAATGTTGATACATTAGCTCTTAAATCGCAAAGGGCCGCACGGTACGCGATCACAGCCTCCCAATGGATGTTAAGCAGCCTATATAGAGACGTCTTCGCGATTTGTCGCATGCTCTTCAGCGAGGCATACCGTTCGCGGGCGTTCAATTTTGCAAGCTCGGCTGCATCTTGGGTACAGGATCCGCGTGTGTGCACAACCGTGTCACGTATGCCGAGACGTCAAACACCGCGTCGCGACGCACCCGTAGCAAACGTACGCGGGGCCGCGAAAGTACTGCTTCGTAGGATCAGTTTCCAAGGCGATGAAACGTCAAGAATCATTTGTCTTATCGACATCGACAAGCTGTGATGCTTCTACGGTTACTGCAGCATTTACTGGAAGAATCTTAGTAAAAAAGCCACTTATGCGCTGTTGTTCAGATCGTGGCTCTGTTCGCCGGTTGGACAGTAGATAAGCAGTCGCGTACGGGATGCCTTGACAGGTTACGTTTAATATACAAGCCGTGTTTGATCTGTGATGCGATTTGCAAGGAGCTCTCTCTATCTCTGTTCAGCTCGCGAGCCTGTATCGCTCGTTTCCCGCCGTTTGCCGCGTCATCCTGTGATCGTTCTGCTGTGAAACTGACTACGTTCGTCTCCTATCCGCGAATGGATATCCATAACATACGCCGCACGCTCTGCCTCCTATTTCTCCTTTATACGTCTACCTCGCGTCCCCTGTAGGTGCACACCATCACCCAGGTCGTGGCATCCTCTCCTCATCTTGCGCTTGTTGCCCTCGCCGGTTCACATCTTCGAGGTCTCATCGTATCCTTCTGCTTTAGCCTCCTTTCCTTACCGGCGCCACTTCTCTTCCGCTGGCTGTTATACGCGTTCGCAATCCGTGTCTTTCAGCGGTTATGCATGCTTCACGAAATATCGTATAGTGAATATATCCTCCGACTAGAAGAGTCGAATAACGCTAAACGCTTTTGCTCTCGGTTACCTCCGAAAACGGCTGATGGCTGTGGATCTTCGCGGTTCTTTCGCTGCGGATATCGACTGAGAAATTACGCGTATGGACTGCGCTTTATCTGTTTAGATTTTTCAAAGAATTTAAATGATCATCTTGGTAGGATTTGGACTTCGAATGAAATTGAAAGACTGTTTGTGATAACAAATAATTCAAACAATTCTCTTACTTTTATCTGTTTTATTAGATTTAACATAAGAAAAAGGAATGAATAATGGGTTAGGTAAACTACAGTACGCGAAACGGGGAAACGAAGTTGCAACATGCAATTTCGTTGAACGTTCACGGTCCGCGTGTGCGCGCGTGTACATATAGATCCGGCAATCTAGCCGGACGGTAATTGGCAAGTCACGGGGTCGCGACTGGGCGATAACGAGTCAACCTCGATTTCGATTGACGCTCGTAAATCTCATCAACCCCGGTCGAGACACAGCCGATGTTTCGGCACAATTTAGTCGTCTCCCACGGGCGTTACAGAGGCAAAGGTTGTGCCTCTGTGACACAGGAAACTGGAACTATCTGTTGACTGTGACGTCCATACCCCGTTGCGATCTTCTAATTATCAATGTACTCGCGCGTTTCCGTTCCAATCTTTTTTTTAACGCTTCCTCCTCACCGAGTTGTTTCTTGCAACTTGCGCTCTCTGTGGATTCGCAAGTCTCTCTCATTTCTGACACAATCTTAATTCTTCACTTTTTCATTTCATAAACGATTAATATGTAAACGCATATCTTGATTAAAAATTGTGTAGTCAAATTAGTTGAATGAATCTTAAGAACAGAGGAACATTTGGGAGAACGTTCGTGTGAGAAAGTTAATAAGTAAGTAAAAGAAATAAGTTAATCTTATAGTCGGTTGATAAACGAATGGCAGCAATCGGTTCGAATCAATGACAGATTGAACGAAGAGAGATATCGCGATGAAGAAAAGAGGAAACGCAGAGGTGAACAGTGAGCGAGTCGGAGGTGGAGAAGGCGGCGGAGGAACCGCTCACGGATGGTTGCTTTACACCCGTCAACTTCCGCGGATCCAACAGAGCGGCAGAATGCAAGACGCCGACACCCTTTGAATAATGAAGCTCTCGGCTTCTATGCCTGTCTGACTCCTCCTCGACGGAAACGCTCGTTCTCTGCTTCTCTCGCCCCCCAGAGAAATCCACGAATTTGTAGCGACGCTTTCCGCCCGTAGGTATCGCGGTGATGCGTCTATTCCACCTCTGGCAGCGTCAAATTTTAATTGCGTCAAAACGACGATCGCGTCGTCGCGACGAAATCTTATCTCGTCACTTGTGTTTAACGCCTTTCAAGCTTCCTCGCGCTTGCGTTGCGTCCGGTACGTGCTAGACTACTTTTCTTTAACGCGTGCATACGTGGTGCATACGTCTTTGAAGTTAGAATTGTGAGAAGGCTTTTGGAGCAAGAGAGAGATGAATGTACTTTCTCAGAAATTGTGAATTGCATGCATAATATTTCGGATTTAATTTATCGTCTCACTCCGAGTTTGATGAACGATGATAGAACGAAGTGACGTGAAAGAAATTGCATGGGATATATCTTGGAGAAAAACTTGGAACTTAAACCGAGGATTGAATATATGAAGATACGAGCTTCCAGTTTAAATCCGGTGAATCGAAATTTCAATAATTCTTACACGCGACACGTTTTAAATTGCGAATCGAAGGTTGGCATACAAATACGTACACGCGGCGCATATCTCTTTCCGGTACTGTGTACACGATTCATATTTTATAAAGGTTATTTCGTATAATCGTATCAAGTGATCCGTTCCGGTAAATTTTTATCGGATTGGAATCGTTTTTATTTGCCCAGCACGAGCGTGCTTTCGATCCGCGCGGAGATATAAATCTCTCGTATCGTTTGTAATCGTTACTGCGGGAAACGTCACTTCTGATCCACTTTTTTTATTTTAATAATTCCGAACCGTATTACCGTTCCAAAAGCGATGAATCTGGAAATGGGAAAAATTGTTGAAAATTAATGGGATAACCACGTTTTCATCGTAAATCGGTTAACTTTCGATGTCACTCGTGTAATCGAAGCTGAAGTTATTGTGAACTTCGTTAAACACTTTTTACCGTAAATATATTTTTATAAAAATAAATGATAAACGTAACTAAATCTAACGCAGACGAAATCGGTTGGGAAAGAGAGAGAGAGAGAAATATAGCGAACTCAGGGTGTTACTTGTTGGCAGGTATACAAACGACGGTCCCGCGACATGGAAACGGAAACCGACGAGGATTTATTGCAGTTTCCGGCCGGCGGATCCCTGGACGCTAGCAGCGGATCGTTATCGAGCGTGTCCCTATCCGACAAGAGTATGTCGACGGACAACGTCGAGGAATACTTCGGGGATGTGCCGTTTGCAGGTAAACAGCAACGCACGCTTGGCTGCACCGCATGACGCTTCTTTATGCCCACGTGTACATGCATAATCGTTGTGTTACGTCTTTGTTTCTTCTCATTTTGACCGTATGCCTGACGACGTTCGCCCGAAGGGCAATCGTCATTCCCCGGGGAAACCAGTCAGTTGTCACAAACCCATATATGAGTGTGTATTACCGGATGGCATAGTGTAATCAGATAGTGGAGGATATTCTTGGGAAAGGTGGTCTCTTCAAGATATGAATCAGTGAAAATAAAAGATTTATACTAGAGGCACAGTAGTATTAGTATTTATTAAGAGTATGAGATTTCGAGTTGTGTTCCTAATTAAAACACAAAATTATTCTTTTGACTGTTTCTTCCACGAGGGCCATCTTTTATAGGAACGATCTGTACGTATAATAATGGAGACCGTAAAACGCGTCCGTCGATTCACAAAAGAATTTATAAACCAGAATAGTTTCTATTTCATTACTGTTTCAGAGGATATAAGATGAACATTATACATATTCTCATCATGTAACATTTTTATTTGATGAGTTAGAATGTCTGTTTTTGATTCTGATTCGATGCAGCGATTTGTAAAGTTCATTCTTCGGTAGCGTTCCAATTTTGTCAAACACAATCCGCATTTTTTCTTTTTGTCGTGTTGTATTGTCATCCCATGCGCTTCGCGCCAACTCACCGAACGGTTGAACTAATATTTCCGTATGACGGGTGTTTACGCATACGTTGACGTTGCCGCGCCGTGTATCAATGTGTAAAGGTTCATCGTGAAAAGGAGATTTGTACACGCGGAAAGATATCGAACGCAAATATTTTGAAACGTGTTTACCTCCAGAACGCAGGAAACGGGAACCGGTCACTCGGGTCGACAGGCGCCCCATGGTATTCGTCTACGTTTGACTCTTCCAATTTTTTTGTTCATATTTTGTGTAAATTACTTCCAGGCGAATGGTTTGCAAACTTTAGAATTAAAATATGGATGTTCTAAAGTAACATTGTATTTAATAAATACGATGCGAAATTTTGTGGGTTCGGTTAGATTTTCTTGTTAGGATATAATAAATATGTATGCCCTTAAATCTATTAGAAATTTTTGGAATCAATAAAATCGCACTCAAGAATGAACCTTTCAAATCTTACACGATAAAAGACAATTCGGTGCTAAGACTAAAACAAGATTAATATATGTAGAATTATGAAGAACAAACAGAATAGAACATCACAATATATCCAAAGTGTCAAGATAAAAAGATTGCTTGAAGATATACAATACTTAATGGAGTTTTAACATTAGGAATTCTGACGTCCATCAGAGAAATGTAATAAGTTTATCAGATCTCGCATTAAAATGCAACGGGTATTAAGAATACACCTCCAACGATCCTTAAACCTCTTTAACATAATAAAACACATGGAGAAAAGAGAACAATTCCGTACTAGCCGAAACCGGAAGTCGTCACTTTCTGGTTCAGCCAATGGAAAGAGAGTCGCGATTAATGGCAAAGAAAAATGCTAAGCATTCTTGCAGTATGCTATGTATTAGTGTTTCAATAGTTCCTTAGATTATTATCTATATATATATACTACTTAGTCAGTTAACTGTGATGTATACGCAGGTATATAAGGGGTGTCTTTGGGAAAGTGTCTTGGAATTTGGAAGCGTGTGACGGGCACATATTTTTAATTTAGCAGAAATTAAAATACTGCTTATTACATTTTAATATTTTCGTTGTTGGTTACGGCTAACAATATAATGTATCCCTAAGAACATAAAGTAAGAACGTCATTTGGAAGACAGTTTTTGTTTCGAAACATTTATTCACATTTTTTAAAATAATATAAATAAATTTACAGTATTGTTACAAATTATTTCAAGTGCATTGGTAGTCGTTGTTTGGGTATTATTTTCTATTCTGGCGTAATATTTTTTAAACGCATCACTTTGTTTCCTTAGCAATTGATTTACGGTATCGACGTAGGAAGCTGCATTTTATTTCCAGAGTATTTGTTCGTAGAATCGAAAAGAAGTTTCTGTTGCTGCTATTTTTACTAGCTTAAAAATAAGGGGAAAAGGGGATGACTTTTTTTTAATTTATTCTTACATCCTAAGGTAAGACGTAGTTCTACGTAATCAAGAATTATGTAAAAATTGAATATTTTATTATTAACTATCAGTCTTAGATCATTTACAGAATTTTTTGGTTCTTCCTTAAAAAACAGTGGCCGCTTCCAAGTATTGTTTTTCGTTTACAAACACCCTGTATATACGAGTCGTTATGCGCATTATGTACATGACATATCTGTATGAAAAGTTTATCGAGGTTATTATATATAATATTTTATTTCTGTTTTATTTTTTGGATAGAATATACGTGATACATGTATACATACATCTATCTACTTCCTATATACATACATTTATCAATTACCAGATACGTTGGTAACACTATTGTGTAAATACACTGTTCGTCTTGAATGGACCCTGATATGTAATACAGGCCCACTCTACATTATAATATTAATAGAAAATCACAGTTCGTGCAAACCTACAACTATACTATACACGTTCCATGAATCTTATAAAATTATGTAACGACTATTTTCTCCTCTCAATTGATGCAAGAAAGACGTACAACTTAAAAAGTGAAGAAGCAAAAAACATATTGCTAAATCAGGAGTGGAATTTCTATTATGCGATGGAGAAATATCGTCGTTGTAGATTTTAAAGTTCCACCCAATTAAAAATATCTCTTCGACAAATGGGTGCAGTGGTGTAATTAGATAACCGTAGATCGATTCCTTCTCGATGTTCTTATCTTTACTTTGTGCTAACGCAATTCGCAGATACAAAAATCCTGCCCTATTTTAAACTTGAAGTTCTATCTAGACAGTAGCATTAATAGATATATGAAAAGTTAACAAACTGTAACATTACTGCCAAGATTAAATGAAAGCAAGATTAATTGTCAGTCCACTAATAATAGACAACTCTTAATAAGAAGTAAAGAAGCTTAAAATATTTGCTATAGTTCCGCACATCGAGAACGGAAGCTATCCACGAGTTAAAGCTCTATATACCATAAAAACTTCGTAGATTAAGCATTTTGACTTGTTACCCAGAACTCTATTCCTTCCTGGTAAATGATAGTTTTTTTTACGATTGATTTGGACACATTTTATTTTTATGTTAAACGCTTCCGTCTAGCTATTGTAATCGAGACGAGTAAAATGCAGACGAGTATACTCTTTGCAACTGAATTAGCTAGAACCTAATCTATTTAAATAGACGATAGGGCGACACACGCTACAAGTATTTACCTATACATATGACATTATGCGAATTATAGAGCGTTATATCGATATCGTTGGTGTGCTATAATAAACGTTATGCTGCCATGTATGCGATGTCTTGAATTATTTTTTGTCGCTTCTGTACGTCCGTACGAGCTTTCGTCACTCGTTCTCTTCTTGTTCCCTCTTTTCTCTTCACCGCACCCAATCCTGTTGACGAGCTTGCTTTTCCGACTTGTTTCCATGAAGTGCTCGACGTTAATCGAATTGCGTTTTAATTAAAGCTTGACAAGCTAATTGTTTAACGAAACGACATTGCCATCTATTTCCTTTTTTTAAATTTCTAGATGTTCATGACAAGGAAAAGAAAGCAAGAAATACCTAATGTAACCCTCTATAACCAGAATTTTATTTAATTATGACAAAGATGCTTAATTTTTATCGAATGGTAAATCAATTAAAAATTCCTAATTGTTATAAATAAATTGTATGATAATGATCGAAATCACACGGTGTTATAAAGGGTTGATTTAACAAGAGAAAAGTAACTCAATATCAATCTAAATCCGACTTGCGAGATTTGTATAGTAAATCTTCGCGACATACTCCGTTCTTGTGAGATCACTATTACTGTCGTTTAATAAGTGGAAGTGCATGCGAGTGGAACGTTGTCAACGAGATTGCGTTACCCCTGGTTTCTCCTACCGAAATTCAAAACACCGTCGATCCATTCCTTTTGGGTGAGTTTATTATTTTCAGATGGCCCACGGTAAGTTAGCAATTTGTACATAATTACGTCCTTTCATTTTCTTTTTCCATTTATTTGCAACCGCTTCGTATTTTCATCGTATTACACATATAAGTTTCTAGTTTCATCCAGAGGTTTCACCGTTAACGAGAATCTACTTGAAAATCGAAGGACGATGCATCTTATTTATTGTTGCACTTAGTATGTATTGCATGCATGCTCATTAATGCAGTTTTTATCATTGGCTCGACGATTGCAACCCAGATGATTGCGTTTATCGGAATTATGCTGTCGTGTCATGCAATGTTCTATTACAAATTCATATCGAACCAATTTAATAGTTCTGGGTCTAATATTAAGTTTGAAGACAGAGCGCCTATCGAGACTCCTAATAAATATCATATATCACATCTTACGGTGCATTATAATATACGCGATTATGAATTTGGGATAAATTACCTATTTTCGAGAACGACGAATTTTGCGAACTTCATCACGTTTTTTGATTACGTAACGCGATTGCGAGGACGCAACGTTCGCATCGCGTCGGGGACACCCTTCCCGCGACGACAACAGAGACCGAGCTCGATGTTGTAATCTAATAATCGCACATCGTCGCTTTCTGCGACGAACGAGTGGAAAGTGGAGCAAGGTAAGATTCAACGACGCGAGTACTTTAACATCATCAGCCTCTTAATTATTACCGTCCGTTTACACGTTGTACAACTCTAGTACAATGAGGGAATAGAGCTGATAACAGTGTCATTGTTTTCATTAACTGTGAATATACAGGATAAAATAGTGAGAGAATTTTGGGAAAGAATTAGCAACTTTTCAGGACAGCCACAACCATCACTTATTTATTAAGTGTGTCCATCAATTATGTTATACATTTTATTAACAATATCAATATATTATACATGATTAGTCAATAGGATA